TTCTCGGTCGACCATGAAATCGAGAATGCGTCGATTGCAGTGGCCTCCGGGTGTGGTATCTTTGAGCAGAATTGTGGAAGCTGCGAGTTGTTTGGGCTTGCGAAAAGGTCGATTGAGTGGGGACTTCAGCGGCGATTGAGGATGCGGAACCATGGTTGTTTCAAGGAGTAATCGTCGTGGTCGATCATTTTGGACAGCTCATCTGCATGGGAGTTTAGCTCGCGCGGGATCCATTCAACAATTAATCGAGTGCCGAGCTCCATGCACGTGCGGATGATGTCCTTGCAAGCGGTGGTGAGGTCGGGGGTGCGAGAGCCGCCTTTGCGGAGGATGAAAAAGACCCCTTGGTTGTCCACCCTCATGAGCACGTATTTTTGCTGAACCTTGTTCGCGTACGTTCGAAGGGCCCAAAGGACGCCTTCGATTTCCCTCCGAGTGCTGGACGTCATTCGCAGTGGTTCTGGCATGGCTGCGCTTGCCTCTTCGAGTTCACCAGGGAAGGTGAGCAGGGTGGCGCCCCAACTATGAGAGTTGGCGTCCACGTGAATTACCGCGTCGTAACTGTTCCGAACGTGGAATGGTGCGCCATTAAATTTGTCGAACTCGTCAAGCCAGAACTGCAACTCTTCAGCAACGAGGGGGGGAAATGCTCAAGCTGCTTCCCCAGGATGGCGCGTCGTTAATTGCTTGTAGCATGGCGTGGCTGAATGCACGAGTCGTGGCGCCGAGTGCGACGGCCATCGACGCGAGTGTGCCGGTGATTCTGGCCAGGTGGCGGACTGGAACCTGTCGGCGCGCTTTGCTTGCGCCCAGTAGGTTCCGAATGTGTGCATGAAGTGATGCCCGTCGATCGGTGCCAATGGAGAATTGACCAGATTTGGTGTCCAACTCGACGCCCAAGAATCGCAGATGTTGTGATGGTAGCAGCTGCGATTTTTTCGCGTTAATCACCAAGCCCGCCATCTTGAGGTCCGAAATTATCTGCTGGCATGTTGCTTGTGCGTGGCCTTGGACGTGCATAAGAACAGGATGTCGTCCACATAGGGTATCACTCGAACTCCTTGTTCACGCCAGCGCCTGGCTAGTTGTTTGATGAGCTGCGTGAAGACAAATGGTGTCGTGGCGAGGCCGAAGGGTAGTGAACGGAAGGCGTACGTGCGCCCTTCAAATTCGAAGCCCATGAATTTCTAGCAAGAGTTGTATATGTCGATATGGTGGTATCCCGATTTGAGGTCGATGGAGAACATCCAATCTCCCATGCATGCCAGGTCGGCCACACGGCTTAGGCCTTTGTATTTGAATTTAGGGATGGTCAGGTGCGCGTTCACTTTCCTGAGGTCGAGGATTAGCCTGCATTTTTCTCGTTGCTCAACCACGTTGAGTGGGCTTATGCATGTGAGCTCCGCTGCTGGGGTGGCCACCGCCGCGCCGGTCTCGGTAAGTTCGCGAATGGCAGTGCGTGTGAACGCAGCATGTGTGTGCGCCCCGAGGTGGTTGCGCTCGTGAAACGGTTGTGGTGGGTTGTGGCTCCATGGCAGCCAGTAACCATTAGCGATGACAGAGAGGATGAGGCTGCTGGGGCACCACGAGCTCCACCATGCAAGGGTTGCGCGAAGCCGCCCGCGCATTTGCGTGACAGATTTGTCAGTGACGGCGAACTCGTACGGATCTCCGTCGCCTAGCGTCTCGTATCGTGTTATCTCTGCGTGTTTGCCGAGTGACAATGGCGCAGAGGTGTTAGAATGCAAGTCATTGTGCCTCAAGGAATGTGCATGCGATAACACGTGCGTAGACACATCAACAAGTCGTAATCACCGTTTGTCCCCCATGGTGTCTGTGTGACGCGGTTCGCCTCTCTCTCCCCTCTCTCTCTCTCTCTCTCTCTCTCTCTCTCTCTCTCTCTCTCTCTCTCTCTCTCTCTCTCTCCTCTCTCTCTCTCTCTCTCTCTCTCTCTCTCTCTCTCTCTCTCTCTCTCTCTCTCTCTCTCTCTCTCTCTCTCGCGCTCTCTCTCTCTCTCTCTTTCTCTCTCTCTATCTCGCTCTCGTTCACTCTTTGCATTTGCTCTTGCTTTCCCTTTATCCATGACATGCCCTTTGGCCCGTGGCCAAGATAAAGGCTACCGATGCCAACAAATGGTGGGGCCGTTTGCTCGGGTTCGTGTGGGTGCTTGCCATTTTGTCGCTCTCTGGTTTTTTTTTTTTTTTTTTTGTCATCCAAAGCCAAGATCAGAAAGTACTTCTTTAAAATAAAGCCCTTATAAGAAACGGGCCACACATAGCCATGCTTCTTAGCATGCATCCGCCCCGCACCGCGCGTGCCAATTTATGGGACCAAAGGGCTTTCTATTCCCTCTCCCGCCTCCTAGGCCTATAGCCTAATCATCACCCCTAACTAGGGCTTGGCTCATAGCCACCGCAAACCCCTTTGGGTTGCCCACGGTCAACGCACTTGACGTGCACCGTGCCACGCGCGCTAAGGCGCAAACGCTCAAGGACCATCCCTACACCACGGGTGCGGGTCCTTGGCCACCATTGCCATTCCGCGGACAGCCACTTGCCACGTGCCCCGGCTGGCCGCAGCGGAAGCATGTCCCACGGAAGCCGTGGAAGCTCCCGATAGGCGGGCCACGCTTGGGGTTGAACGCCATGGGCCCGCGACCTCCGCCGCGGTGGGATCGAGCGTGCGCACCCTCCGCGCGATCCATTGCTGCCACGTCGTCGACGGCTTGCTTGAACAGGCGGGAGGTAAGGAGGCTCTTCTGCTGGTACATCTTGAACCGCTTGGCGACGCGATCGTCGGTGGCGTCCTCGACTTGAAGCATGTCGTAGCGCTCCGAAATATAGTCGAGGGCGCTCGCGACCATTTCAAGTCCGCCCGCCGCATCGCCGCGCTGCAGTTTGTACTCCGCGTGCTTCAGGTAGGCCCTCAGGTCCTCCAGGGGCTCCACTTTCGCTCGCACGATTGGGTCGATGAAGTTTGCCGCCGAAAAAGTGGGGTTAGTGCAAGGGAGGGTAGGGAGATTTTCCATGGGGGGAAAATTTGTTGCGTTGTTCGGAGCCTCACCGGCGTCGTCGTCTGAGTCGTCGGAGTCGTTGTTGACTGCTGCAGCTTCAGGAGCACTGGTAACCGCCTCCTTGTCGTGGCGGCGCGTTGATGGTCCTTTTGCTCCTTTCTCCTTTTTTGCAATGTCGTTTTTAGCCGATGCAGATGCTACAGGTTGTGTAGTTTCGGCGGCGATCGCGCTAGCGGGGTGCTGCTGTAACAGGGACAGGAGGGCCTTGACTTGGTCCGGGGTCAACGCCTCGGTCAAGGCCTGGTCAGCCGTCGCGTCAGACGAGGCAGCCGTACGGCGCCTCTGGCGCTGACGCGACGGCCGGCCGGAGGCGTGTGCCGCTGGCGCGTGCTCCGCGTCCGTGGCGTGTGTCGCCATGTTCGCCACTGGCGCCACAGGCGCCGAAGGGTGTTGGGGGTGCTGCTCGGCGTTTTTGTTGACTTCAAGCCCGCCCAGCAGCACGTCCACGGCGGTCGGGGCGGATGTTTCGCCGTCTGCCCGGCGCTTGTTGCGACGCTCGCCCGTCGTTTCACGGGCATTACGGTCGTTGTCGGAAATTATCGGGTCGTTGGCGACGATGTTGTTAGCACGGTTAAGCGTCGGCGTCGCAACCATCGTTGAGCGGTTTTGGTTAAGGATGTCGGCTAATAAAGTTGAAGGGGAAACGCCTCTAGGTAATGAGCGAGTTCTCGCCAGCTTGAACGGTAAAACTAGAAGTGAGCTCGAGAAAGTGAAGTTGCATGAGCCGTTGGAAAACGAGAGACGTGGGTGGAGGGAAATGAGCTCCAACCCACGATTTGTAGTTGGAGTAGGTCGTTAAGCGCGCTATGACGATGCCAAAACATGCGTTACAAGAAGCTGCGCTTTCGAAATACGTAATTTTGAAAAACACTTCGTGTGTTTAAAAATTATAATAATTTCACTCTCGATAGTCTTGTATCCCTCTCCCTTACCTAATCGACGTTCCTCACCTAGCTAGTGATTCTAACAGAATTGGCTACACGCTTCTACGGCAGGCCCTCAGATTCGGTTTTGGCCTGTCTGATTCGTCAGACTAGTACACAGTTTTAGTCTGAAAATCTCATCAGACTTGGTATTGAAAAAAGGCTGAAATTTCAGAGTGTCTTAAAACAAAAGTCTGATCATTCAAAATCAATGTATTCAATGTTTCATCGGAAGTGTATCCAATGTTTCATTCATCTGCTATCGAAACATGCTCTGACAGGGCGAATATATGTGTCAGGGCGAATCTTGTGGTGCGAATGGGCGAATCTGCAATGTCAGGGCGATTTTGCTGTGATTGGGCGAAGATTGTTGTACTCTGACAGTGCAAATCTGTTGTGTCAGGGCGATTTTCCTATGATTGGGCGAAAATCTAGTGCTGTAAGACTCGGATTTGCTGTGTCAATGCGATTTTGCGTTGACAGTGCGAATCTGCTGTGACCCGTAAGTCCGAATCACCAGTCGAGGACGCGTTTGTACTCTAAATTATCAGAGTACACTCTCAGAAAACTCTAAACTCTCAGAGTTGGCCTATAAAAAAGTCTGAAAATTACAGAGTTGAGGCCCCCAAAAGTCTGATTTTAACATAGCACAGGAAAAAAAAATCTGAAATATCAGAGAAAAAAATCCAAATCAGAGAAAAAAGTCTGACTTCTGAGGGCCTGTTCTACGGTAACTAAAAGGACGGACATCACTCAACGATCTCGCCATAGCCTAGGCACAAAACAGTCCCTCGCCGCACATAGAATGTTGGACTTCTCATCTCAAACTCTCCCGTGATTCCTTAGAATGCCCACTACAGCGGCCGACAGATGTCAATGGACCCACCATAGCTGCCACCGCTCGTTGTAACGCTCAAAGAGCTCCTTGCTCCCTCCAACTGCCCAAACATACCGTAACTACGGGGGCTCCCAGCTCCCTGCTTCCTTGGAATGTCCAACACTGATCACGGGGGCAGACAGATTTCAACAGGTCCACCAGAGCTGCCCCCAATGGTCCCCGCGCACGGGCTATTATACTTCTCAAACAGCTCCGTGCTTCTTCCGAATGCCCTGTTGATGATGCTGCTGCACGACGCCGACGCTTTGAACGTCCTTGCCCGTCCCTCGCCGCAGCCACCATAGGGAAGAGCTACAGTGGGCTTGAGACATATCTTCGGCCAGCCAGCCTGCGTGTTGCGCATGGACACATGTCAATGAGAAGCATGCCTCATCCACAACACCTGGAGAAATACATCTGGATCGGATCAACGTTACCACTGTGCACACTCTGATCTGCAGTGTTGTGATGCGGAGCGAGGCCACTGAGCCAGGCTCAACGATGAAAAACGACTGGCCCTTATGCCAGGCTGGCAGGCAACGCTTCATGCAGGCTCCTCCAACTCACCTCTTGATCAGCGTCCAGTGAGGTGTAGCACACTAGCCCGGTGGTTCAGCCGTTAGAGCTGCAACAAGGAACCGCCATCCATCTCCCTATCCAGTTGAACCCTTCTTACACACGACACTTCCGACTCACCTCCTGATCAGCGTGCAGTGAGGTGTAGCACACGAGCCCTGGGTTCAGGCGGTAGAGCTCCAGCAGGGAACCCAGCTGATGGCCCTCCACCACCTGAGTGCAGCTGCTCGTGCCGCTGACAACGGTTGAAGCGTCTAAAAAGCATTCCTCCCCGATCCCCACCTTCCGATCGTCCCGCTCGATGCAGAGGGAGCGGGACGGGGGGAGCGGTGAGGAGCAGTCGAGGCCGGGGTTGAGGAGCGACAGGGAGGAGGAAAGGCCAAAAGAGGCTGCCACTGACTCGCATGTGTCGCCCTGCTTGGCGAGAGGGGGAGGAGTGTGGGTGCAGGCGCAAAGAGGTGGGAGGGGTGAAGCAAGTCAGCGCAACAATGACATGTGATACAGAAGGACAGCGGTCTCGTGGAGAGTCTAAAGCGGCGCAAAAGATAACAAGAGAAACAAGAGAAACGCTAGTGAGTCACAACCTACATACAGAAACAGCAACACGAAATGCTAGCTCATAACACATACGAGGGTGCAAGGGAGATGAGTTACCGGTCGCATGAAATAGAAGACAGAGCGAACAGGCAACCTCTTTCAAGTTACACGGTAGGAGCCTCTTGCAAGATAGTTACCGGTTGAATGTAATAGAAGACAGAGCAGGAGGCAAGGTCGTCCCTCTCAGTCACGTTGAGTATTTGACCCCGGGTGAGGGCAGCAGTGCAGTCCACGCCCTGCCAGCCAGCACACGCACACAACAAGGTGAGTGGCAGTGAGAGTATAAGAGAACCCCAACACTGTCAGGCGCAGTCAACGCCCTGCCAGCCAGCACACACACACACACACACAGCAAGGTGAATGGCTGGTCTTGACAGTCAAGAGACTCTCCCAGTGCAAAAGAATGCGTGGGCATAGGATACACTCAGATGTATATTTGGCAAAAACACTCACATTGTTCTGTGCAGTGAACTCGTCTAGAGTGAGTCCATAAAGAGGATAGACGTCCTCACACCTCCAGTTGTCTCCTTGCACCTCCAGTGTTGAAGCAAGTCCCGAAGTTTCTGCGCACGCGCAAAGGCACAAAACCAACAACAAATACCAGAAGGCTTGAAAAGCAAATCCCGCTTGCACGAATGCACCAATTAGGTTAAGAAGGTATTGGGTGTCTCTTTTCGATAGGTTCATTGTTCCATGCCCATCACCCATTGAAACAAATGTGCCAGAGTTAAACGGCAGGCAGGCTGTGCCGAGATGTTTCATAGAGAAGGGAGGAGAGCCCGTGATGACAGGTGGGGCACAGAGCCTACCGTATTCACAGGTGGGGTATCCGTTGGTTCTGGTGTCTGGGACATGCAAGGGCGGGCAGACACAGGAGTAGGAGCCGGGGCCACCACTGATGCAGGAGCCTGACTTGCAGGGGTTGCGAGTGCTGTTGCCACACACATCGGCTGGTAAGGGTGGCGGGGGGAGGACACAGTTTTGCTTATGAGGCGCTGTGGGAATACAGTATGCCTTACAGGGGTTGCGAGTGATGTTACCACACACATCCGGTGGTGGAAGTAGAAGGGGGGGAGCAAACAGAATTGGTTCTTAGGCGCCTTGAAAGTAGAGCCCGCCCGCCTTTCAAGGGTTTGTGGTGCAGTTGCCACTCACATCCACTGGTGGAGGCAGTTCAGTTTCTGCGACGAGGTGACTTTAAGTCGACTCAAAAGTCACATCCACGGGTTGTGGGGGGGAAAAAGCAGTTTAACATCTGGCGCGAGGTGAAGTCGACTCAAAAGCCACAGCCACGGGTTGTGGTGCGGAGGGGATAGTTGACAGCTGCAAAGGAAAGTCCAGGGGTTCAAAGGGAGGTGCAAGGGGCTGATCACTAGGTGCAACAGACGCAACTTTCCATACAGTATACTCAGGCGTGCTCAAGACAACGACCATCTAAGTTCTAACATGTAGTTTGTTAGCGCTTACAGTCGGTTGGCATGGGTGCGGATTTGGGACGAGAGTAATTCCCTTTCATGAGCTCGCATGTGCCGTCCGGCCTGCTGGTGCCGCCATCGCAGACGCACCCCACTCCCCTGCGGTCCGTGGTTGCAGTGCATGAGAAGTTGGTCGGCGCACAGATGTCCTCACCCCACAGATGTCCTATGGCGTACCGGCGGTGAGGGGTGGGGAGAGTGGGAGGGAGGGGAGAGGGAGGGCGGAGGGAGGGGAGCGGGAGGGGAGACGGGGGGGAATAAGGGGGAGGTGACCTCTGGGGGTGATCTCTGGAGCTCCGGCAGTGAAAGGGGTGGGTTGGGGGTTGGAGGAGGAAAATGAGGCGTGGGGGGGTGCTGAGTTGGAAACCAGGGGTTCGCTCCCCTGCGGTCCGTGGTTGCAACGCAGGAGTAGTTGGCTTGGCTGGGTACACTGCGCGCCCACAGATGTCCTCTGCTGCACCGGCAGTGAGGTGTTTAACAAATAGGTTGACAAGGAGTGGGAGGAGAGGAGAGGAGAAGGGAGGCGAGGGGATGGGAGGAGATGCGAGGGAAAGAGACGAAAATAAAAGGAGGAGAAGAGAGGGAAGGAGAGGAGCCGAGTGTTGAATTTGGTACAGGCTACTAAGTCAAAAACACTGGGTGCCGCGCATATATTAGGTGCACACTTGACTGACGGTATCTCGTACACTTCTCCTCAAAGCCCCCGATTCATTATCACAAATATTTGATGGAGTGCAGCAGGCACGACAGCAACAGGAGCGAGAGCAGCAGGAGCGAGAGCAGCAGGAAAGAGAGCAGCAGGAAAGAGAGCAGCAGGAAAGAGAGCAGCAGGAAAGAGAGCAGCAGAGACGCACCGATGATGCAGCGGACGGACTTGGCTGGTTTGGCAATCGCCTTCACCCTGCTCATGGGCACAGAGGGAACACGCTGCCAGTCATCAGTCAGGTGGCCCCGTGGCAGTGAGCGATCACGCTGCGGCCCAGAGATGGAGGGCTTCAAGGAAGCAGGGACGCGGGGAAGCGGGCAAGCTGGCAAGCAGGCAAGCAGGCGAGCGGGGAAGAGGGGGAAGCGGGGAGGCGGGAAGGCGGGGAGGCGGGGAGGCGGGGAGGCGGGGAGGCGGGGAAGCGGGGAAGCGGGAAAGCGGGAAAGTGGGGAAGCAGGGAAGCGGGAAAGCGCGAAAGCAGCGAAGCGGGGATGCAGGGACGGAGGGAAGCGGGTAAGCGGGAATCGGGGAAGCGGCAAAGCGGGAAAGCAGGGGTGCAAGAGACGAGCTCACTCACCTCTGAGTGCCCTGCATCAGAGTGTCCACTGGCGCTCCTTTGCACCCGGGCTTGGAATAAAGCTGAAGCTTCCAGCAAGCAGCATCTACGTCCGGCTGCGTCCACGCCACCTGCACCTTCTTCCTCCCCCGCCCGCCTTAGCCGGGATGTCAACGCAGCGCAGTGAGTTGAAGGTGAATGGGCGGTTGTTGATCCTCACCTGCGTGCCCACCTGCAGCTGCGCGTCCAGTGCTGCGCCACTGGCGGGTCCTGTAGTAATGGGGTCGGTGACCATAGGAGCATGAGCATGGGGGTACAGCATTGAATGATGTGAGAATGGAGCAGGAGAGCATGTGAGGGCAGGAGAGCATGTGAGAGCAGGAGAGCATGTGAGAGCAGGAGAGCATGTGAGAGCAGGAGGGCATGTGAGAGCAGGAGGGCATGTGAGAGCAGGAGAGCATGTGAGAAAGTAGAACGCAGGATCAAGGAGCATGGAATCCTGTGAGAATGGGAGAGCATGAGGGTGTATGGCAGTATGGCAACATGGAATCATGGTAGCATGCGAGCATGGGAGCATGCGAGCATGGGGGTGAGGAGCATGGTTTGGCATGTAAGAGCATCGGATTTTGTGAGCAAGGAGGATGAGAGCACGGGAGAATGGGAGAATGGGAGAATGGGAGCATGGGAGCATGGGAGCATGGGAGCATGGGAGCATGGGAGCATGGGAGCATGGGAGCATGGGAGCATGGGAGCGTGGGAGCATGGGAGCATGGGAGCATGGGAGCATGGGAGCATGGGAGCATGGGAGAATGGGAGCATGGGCGGATCATGTGAGCATGGGGTAGCATGTGAGCCATTGGAATAGTATGAGAATTAAGCACGGGGCCAAGAGTGAAAGGGAGCGTTAAGCTTGTGAGAATGGGGGAGCATGTGCGCGGCATGGCAACTGTCGGGTCATGGGAGCGTGGGAGCAAGGAGCGCGGGAGCGAGGAGCTGGAAAGGAGGAGAGGCGCACCAGCGGTGATCACGAGGATGAGGAGCAGCACAATCAGCGCAATCACGCCGTGAACACTCCCGCCACCCGCCATTGTGCTGTGCAGCCGACGGCCAGGTGCGTAGGAATGAAGACCGGCAGACGGCTGATGCTGATCGGCGGCGCGACTCGAGAAGGCGATGCGGTTAGCGGAGCAGAGGGGCTTGCGTTGAAATAAGCGGACGGTTTCAGGACGGGGAGAGCGCGACGGAGATAATGCCGCGATACTACTAGCGACAATGGTGTCTTTTGAGTTGAGTCAACAAACTATTGAATTAGGTTACAATGAGCATGGTAGTTCAAGTGGTCAAGCGCCAGACAATAAGCGCTCTATCGTTAGCTCGTAGTGACAGTTTACTAACGACGTTTCACAATTCCACACAACCTGTCGTTATCAACACTGAAGAGCTGGTTCGCGAGAACCGCTCGCTGCCGAGACCGATAAATCTAGTCGCCTTCCTTGACACGCCCTGCCCAATGCGGCAACCAGAGGCGAAATGCTCCTTGGTGGTACTGAGCGGGAACGCGGTCAGCAGCGTCGCCATGATCGTCGCCGCAAGGAACGGAGAGTATGCGCTCTTTCGACTTGCGACTTGCGCCGAGCGACGGCCTCGGCGCCAAGCGAGGCGAGCAATGGGAACGCGTTTTGAGCTTGTCAAGTCCCATCAAGTCCTACGGGTTGGTATTCGGGATGCGAATTACTCTGAGAGTGATTTTTTCGCGGCAGCACCGCAAGAAGCGGAGTCAAATGAAGGAGGAAGAAAAGGGGATGACTGGCAGTGGTGGAATGGTTGTGCGGCCATCATCTCCGATACTCAGATTCTGCCTGAACGCGTTCTCAGGTGTAATCACCAACAGAAACACAGTTTCTCGATATGGTGTGAAGCTATTCTGGCTCATGTCTGAATACAGTCACTCAAAAAAAGGAATTCTAGCACTTGCAAAAAAATAAATATAATGCCCGTAGCGAACCTATATGATTTCCGGGAAGGATCAACCCTAAATACCAAAAGCCTCCCATTATTTTGGAAAACATATTGCAACCCACTTGACAAAAAAAATATTCCCACCTCGGAAAGGGATGCGACTCGGGAGGCATCAGCCCTAAAAACAATGCCCATTCCCATGTTTAGGGTTGACCCCTCTCGAAAATGCATCCAGATTCCCTAGGGGTTTTATTTCTTTCTGCCATGCCCGAATAGGTCTCGGTAGCGTCGTCTAGTGCTTTCGGTAGCGTTGTTTAGCGGTCGGTTGCGCTACTGAGCACTACCAAGTGAATTATATGGGCTTCATTCTCTTACTACCTTAATTTCCGTACATATATCCAACTCGGGAGGGTAAACTGGATGGTTTTGTTTTTGTCACTTCCTAATGAGTTCGACCAGCGTAAGAAATGTGACTAAAAGCGACGACCAATCAACGTTGAGAAAGTCCAGGTTGATTACACCTGAGAACGCGCTCAGGAAAAATCTGAGTATCGGAGATAATGCGCCTGCATACATCCAACATGCGAGTGTTCCCATTTCAGCGGTAACTTACATGTAACATGTGCATATTTCCATCCGAGCAGGTGCAACTTACATCCAACATGCGTGTGCTTCCCCGATCGCCTCGTACAAGCGACACCAATGCTCCCTCAAGGGTAGCTTCAGCCTTGAGCACACGACTGGCCTGCTCAGCAACGTTCCCTCTTGCTGCTGCCAGCTCGTCCGCTTGCCTTGTAATCAGGTTCTTAGCCAACTCCCCCCTGGCTGCTTCCAGCTGCTCGCTTAGCTCCTCCAGTTGCACGCCCAACTCACCCACTCCCACTAGCCGGCCCAGAGCGATTCCTACAGCTTCGTACATACTCCGCAGTGTGAAACTGCCATGCTCAAAAGCACAAGGCAGCAGTCTCATCCACATCAATTTAAGAAGGCATGGGAGAAGAAAGCAGAAGTTACAACAAATCTACAAAACCAGCAAATGCACATCAAGTAGAATATCTCATGAGCCTAAGGGGTGGTGAGGGGAGAGTTGGCGAAGGAGCAACAGGAAGGGAGGGAAGAGGGGGGCGGAATGAGTAATTCATGCGTAGGACGAGGGTGAGAGAGCGGCGAAAAAAAATGGAACAGCAAAAGAGAGGAGAAAATAGGGCTTGAGGAGGAAGTGGGGAGGATAGGTTTAGAGCAGAGGGACCTAAACGA